TAACGACCACGTTACTAACTTAACAACTGCAGTGAGTCACTTCACAACTGTGTTGAGAAAGGTCGTAAAATGGGGCAAAACTCACTCAACAAACGTTTGGCTTAACAATGGGACGCTTGGGCTCAACTGTGGTCATAATCTGAGGACTTTCTGTGTTCCAGTGCCTGCTCAGTTTCGAGAGAAGGGCTCCCTAATAGAGATAGCAGCTCAACCCTTTCGCACCTCCTTCCGGTTGTATTTTCGTGGGCTGCACACAACCCCTCTTTTGCACAAGGGAGTCTGTTGTTCCTGGTTGTGACAAGGCTCCGATCTGCTCTCCTCTTCTTTGTCTCTGTGTGAGGAAACACCCCCCCCCCCCCCGCAAGCTCTGAGACCCCAGATACCTACACGGTGGCCTTCAGGATATCGGAGTGGATACGGGCGACTCCATTGACAGCGTGGGAACCCACGATGCAGAGATGCGCCATGTTGATCCGTTTGACGCTTCCTTCTTCCACCATGGACATGCGGCGCATCCGGTCCAGGTCTCCCGGGAAGGTGGCGTAGACTTTCTGCAGAAGACAGGGAACGGCCCCCCCAAAGATGCTGTTAAGGGACTCATGACAAAGGACTGGATTCACACACAGCCCTGGTGAGGCTTTCCCCGGCGGTGGAGCTGATGTGGGAATGCCACCGTAATCCCTGGAAACAGTTGGAGAACAACCAGATCTCTCTGAGGGACCCAAGTAGCAACAGAGATGCAGAAGGAGGAAGAGACGAGAGAACCAGCTGGAATGGAGTAGCTGGGAAATGGGTTTGATTGGCTGGCTGGGCCCTTAAAACATAGAATAATAGAGTTGGAAGGGACCTTGGAGGTCTTCTAGTCCAACCCCCTGTTCAAGCAGGAGACCCTCTAACATTTCAGACAAATGTTGCTATCCAATCTCTTCTTAAAAACCTCCAGTGATGGAGCACCAACAACTTCTTGAGGCAAGCTGTTGGTTGATTAGACACTTCTCCTTAGTTCTAGGTTGTTTCTCTCCTTGGTTAGTTTCCATCCGTTGCTTCTTGTCCTGCCTTCTGGGGCTTTGGAGAATAGCTTGACTCCCTCTTCTTTGGGGCAGCCCCTGAGATACTGGAAGGCTGCTATCCTGTCCCCCCTCGTCCTTCTCTTCATTAAACTAGACATATCCAATTCCAGCAGCCGTTCCTTGTATGTTTTAGCCTCCAGTCCCCCAATCATCTCTGTTGCTCTTCTCTGCACTCTTTCTAGAGTCTCAACATCTTTTTTACATCATGATGACCAGAAGCAGATGCAGCATTCCAAGTGTGGCCTTACCAAGGCCTTGTAAAGTGGAACTAACACTTCACGTGATCTTGATGCTCTCCCTGTCCAGGAGCAGTCTATATTGATCTACCTTACTGCCCAAACTATGAGTTGTTTGGCTTTTCGCTGGGGTTGCACTCACGTCGAGGAAACGTTGGTTGATTTCGTAGATGATCTCCAAGTGGCGCGGCAGGAGAGTCTCAAAGAGGTGGACAGGCCAGCGCTCCAGCGCCTCTGGCAGCACGGTGTGGTTGGTGTAGGCACAAGTGCGCACGGTGACGTCCCAGGCCTGCAATGCGGGGAGAGAGCAAAGTCTGCTTGAGGGACAAATCGTTCGCACAATACAGGTGCGAACTTTCAACCAATCTCCTTCGGCACGAAAGCCGGCTGGATGACTTTGGGCCAATCGCCAGGAGACGGTGAGTTCTAGTCCCGCCTTAGGCATTAAAGCCAACTGGGTGACTTTGGGTCAATCACCAGGAGACGGTGAGTTCTAGTTTTGCCTTACGCATGAAAGGCAGCTGGGTGACTTTGGGCCAATCACCAGGAGACGGTGAGTTCTAGTCCCGCCTTACGCATGAAAGGCAGCTGGGTGACTTTGGGCCAATCACCAGGAGACGGTGAGTTCTAGTCCCGCCTTAGGCATGAAAGGCAGCTGGGTGA